GTACAGCTTTGCATCATCGACATACCCACCACAGAATGTGATATGGGAAAAAGCCTGGACTTGAAATTCAATTTTGCCTTATGATCCAAGGACAATAACGACAATGTGGAGTAGTGGTTAACGTGCAGAGGAAACGCTAAACTCTTGAGGGGACTAGGATTAGTCTCACAGATTATGTGATTGAGAACTAGGCAAGGTCAAAACTTCAGTCCATTCAAAATAACAATGCTTTATGAGAAGAAAGGCTAAGTGAAATTCAAAGAAAAAGCAAGGCATTATGAGAAAAACTACCAGTCCTTGATAACCTTAAGCGAAATACGATTAATATATTTTATATTAATAATATACTTGAAATCTCGAAAACCTGCTTATAAACGAAAAAGAATACATATTAGGTCTGCCCATGAATTTCGGAGGTAATATTTTGCTAATCGATTAGATTATTTTACTTTGTACACGAGATAGGAGTTTTACAAAAAATTTGGTGATAAACACTTAAAAATTAAATAACGAGCAACGCGTACTAGCAACTATCACTATTTAGTTTCGAAGCTAGTCTAATGAATGAATTGTACCTTAATTCAAGCATTAAGTCGCAAGCATCACAGTTCTAATGCTCAAAATACAGGATTAAAAACCCCATGGTTTCGTCCTTTAAGCTGCCTCCTGGCAGTCAAGCTGTCATTATTTTGTAAGACAAAGAACACTACAATTTACATTATTTATATTAGTAGTTAGATGAGAAAAAACATCTCAGATTTGTTGAAAATTAAGCTGTACATTCCGATGATATTGCATACATGCTGAGAAAACGTGAAAAAATTCATTCGAAAAAAAGGTCTTTGTCATCAATGATGTGGTAGTTCGGTCGGAAATAGTGTAAATTATCAAGATGAATATTAAATAAAAGGGTCAATGAAAGAAGTTTAAATCTGAACTTAAGAATAAAGGGAAGTGGTTTGGCCTTAGTTTTTGCAGCCTGGTCGTCAACACCTAGGTAGTGTTGTCACAAAGACCTAGGTAGACGCATCTTGTCTCATCAACAAGCTATAGTTTGGTGTTAGTAATTGCAAGGCTCACCGATGGCATTGACATTCTGGGAATGTACCAAGTCTAAAGGCTTCACACCGGAAATTATTGACTAATATAGCAGAGAAATTCAGACAAAGTAGGCTGATCTAAATCTCTCTTACAACACGACCCTGGCGAAAACGAGGTCAAAACATGACACAAGGGGAGCGCGACAAAGATAAAGGTCATGCTATCTTCGTATTCATACATTCGATTGAAGAATATACAATTTTAAGAGACGCGAGGTGGTAGGCAAGAAAAATTATAGTGCTATATGCGAATTTGAAAATGAGGGGAAAATAACATGCTAAGATTCAAATCAGTTCAGCATAATCTAGTAAGACCACAGAGATTTGCCTTGAATGACTAAATTCAAAATTTCATTTCTTATAATTCCATCCAAGATTTTAAGTAATTTGCAAAATACTCTGTATAAAAAAATCGGTTAGGAAAAGATTTTGATCCCTATAAAGCATCAGATTATTAGTGATGGTCTTATGAATTCACAATTATAAATTAATTGATAAGCATCAATATTTGCGTTAGCATATGTATCTTGTTTTAAAGAATGAACTAAATTGAGAAAAACCATTCTTGCATTGCTACAGACGAAAGATAAGATAGAAATATGTCTGGAAGAAAATATATTTAAATATATCATGAACGTAAGATAGTGATGCCAATATCAACCAATTTAGTTAGATATTCATGTCAACTATGCCAAGTCCATAAGCATACGAGAGGGCCTAACTCACAGGTCTGTATTCCTGTTGGCGACCAGAAGAATATATCCGGCGAGCTAGGGCTGGTATGTGCATGCAGGAGAGCCTCAGGCTGGGCCAATCCGGCGACGTACGCAATGGCAGGATGAGGTTGGCCTGATGTTTGAAGAGGAGGAGGCGGAGGTGGTGGAGGCAGATGCGAAGGAGTGTTTATCATCATGCTTGAAGCTGCAGCAGCGGCATTCAAACTACCAGGTGGAAAGATAGAGGTCTGATGTGGCTGGCTTGAAGACACAGAAGTTGCATTTACTGTAGAAGATGATGGTGATTGAGATGAAGCCGTAGGTCGTGAAGTTAGAGTGCCAGCAAAAAGCAACTGGCCTGGTGGCGTAGTAGGAAGGCTAGAAATAGAAGCAGAACAGGATTGATTGCCACCCAGAGACAAAGGCAGGCGGCTAGAGACAGGGTCAAATAAAGAGCAAGCATCGGGATTGTTGGAATTAAGAACGTTGGACTGGTTAGTATAAACTAGACCACTTGCGCCAAGCTGATGATGATGCGGCAGGTGGACTTGCTGGTGTTGCTGGTGCTGAAGGTGATGATGCTGTGTAAAGTTAAAATGGAGGAGAAATCAAGGCAATATCTTAATTATACACACACATATATATATATATATATATACCATCCTCATCAATAATTAGCTGCAATAAAAATTAGCTCTGAAGATTGAAAGTATTGTTACAGATCAAACAACAGATGGATGACTAATGCTAACACAAGGCAAAATTGTCGGTCACAAATTTTCAAAACCGTTTTGTCCTTTAAGTGGCCAGCGGATTTTACCGGGTAACTTCCACTTGAAGAAGTGTTCGGCATATCTTGGGACTATATAATGGTATAAAAAACATACATTGAATTTATCTAAACCAATGCAAAAATCCTATACGCCTTTTCTGCCATTCATACGATAAATTTGGTCACCCAGAATACCGTTAAAAAGCTGGGAATTGTAGTAAATCTAATTGATTGGCACCTCTGGCGCAGGAGTTTAAATTATAAAAAAATAATGCACCCTAAAGCGTGCCTGTTGTAGCAGATCAACCGCTAACCTTCATTCTCGGAGTCTTTTACAGATACGTCAGATTAAAGCATCAAGAGTATTAGCTGCAAAATCAGTGTCAGAAAGTTCTGACTTAAGGATATACTCTAGTATCCAGATCATGTTCAAGTAATATATTAGAAATAGTAATCTCGAAACCATAATTTTCAATTAAATATATGTTGTGCCAATTTGTATTTCGATTATAAAGACGGTAGCAAAGGATTGCTGAATTTAACATCCCCAGAATTCGAATAGGGGCTGTCTTGGATTTGTTACTAGTGGATTGCAAAGAACATCTCAGCTCACCGTCCTG